ACCAACAACCACCAACAACCAACAACAACCAACAACAACCAACAACAACCAACAACAACCAACAACAACCAACAACAACCAACAACAACCAACAACAACAAAACAACAACCAACAACAACCAACAACAACCAACAACAACCAACAACAACCAACAACAACCAACAACAACCAACAACAACCAACAACAACCAACAACAACCAACAACAACCAACAACAACCAACAACAACCAACAACAACCAACAACAACCAACAACCAACAACCAACAACCAACAACCAACAACCAACAGCAACAGCAACAGCAACAGCAACAGCAACAGCAACAGCAACAGCAACAACTCCAGCTCCAGCTGCTCACGAAGTGCATCTTCACACTCCCATATCTTGCATAGACCGAAACTTAATTGCATGCTGTTGAGCGGTGATTTTGATGCACTGGTTGTCCAGAAGGCATACTCGTAGTCATCCTTCAGTTTGCTAAATAAAGCCAAACAACAACAACAACAACAACAACAACAACAACAACAACAACAACAACAACAACAACAACAACAACAACAACAACAACAACACCTAACAACAACCAACAACAACCAATAACAACAAACAACAACCAACAACTATTACCAACAACCAACAACAACCAACAACAACAAACAACAACAACCAACAACAACCAACAACAACCAACAACTATTACCAACAACCAACAACAACCAACAACAACAAACAACAACAACCAACAACAACCAACAACAGCCAACCTCGTTTCTGTTTGGTTCTTGGTGGGGTTCTTTCGTTTTATTCAGTCAGTTACTAGCTTGCAGCTATTCCTCTCGTGTAGTTCAGTTGCTTTACTAGTGTCTCATCCAGGAGTCATCCTAAAATAAAGATTACTCATTTTCTCTGTGGGTCAGATCCCTCTCTCGTCTAGTGGTGTTCTTGTGTCCAGGATGGGATGTGCATGATTGCCAACAGCGAACATCTGAGCTATACTTTCTTTGAACCATGCGTACTACGGTAGCTCACTAATTTCCCACGAAGGATGAAGCAGTTTTGTCCACAGAATGAGTATGTATAGAGTTTATGAAATGACAAGCCAAGAATAATAATAATAATAGTAATAATAATCTTCACTAGTTTGAGGGAAAGAGACAAGCGGGAAAAGTCTGAAGAAAAAATTGACTGTCACCACCAGCACTCCAACCAGGGACCCTCGCTTGTAGCTAGCGATGCTCTAACCACTGAGCTATGGTGTAGTCGTCATCCCAGCAGAGACTGTTCAACATTTTCTTCAGACTTCGTAACTCGAGCCAGGGACCTTCGCTTGTAGCCAGCGATGCTCATAATCTTTATAAGAAGAGAGGGAACTGCAATCCATGCCCGGTTTACACTGGGAACGAACAGAGTGGAATTAGGAAAACCACTAACACGAGGATGTTGTACTGCACTCGCACAAAGGGTAGAGAAGCATGCACACACATTGTGTGACATCAACCATAAACATATGCAAACCTCAAAGGTGTGTACATGTATGTGTGAGAGACAAATTAGTCACAGCGTGCAGCAGTGTTATGACAGGTACTCCCCAAGTGTTGTTGGCGGCGATATATCAAAATATTTGGATGTTTTGTTTCCCCTCTGAATGATGACTCTGCAGTCTGCAGTTGATCAGTAGTGCTCCCACTCTGTAGTAGATGGCAACGGGCTGCAAGAGAAGCTTCTGTTGTTTTTTTGTAATCAACATAAGCCCAGTATGTGAGCAGCTCACCAAAACTCCACTCCACAGACTGCCGTGCACGGTTACTAGTAACTCGGGTGTTGTATTATGCTTGTGCAGGAGTCAGGTTTGCGCCCAGATAAGCTTTCTGCAGCCTTGGTGATACGGGATAGGCTGGGGTCACCATAGAGTGCAAATATGCCTCCATCATCAGGATCCGGTGATTGCTGCAGCTTCGCCAACAGGTTGCTTTCAGCCAGGATACCAGCATCGTGGCGTCTTCCCTCGACAGGCCCGTACAGATGAATCATCAAGCCATCTGGTGATGCAACGGCTTGGTACTTCAAAGCATGTGTTCGGTTATGTCCGTTGTAGAATGGTCGCTGGAGTACAGACGGTCGACACATGGGCCTCACGGTTCCGTCGATGTATCCCCAAATGTTTAATGCAGCGCCGGTTCTCCTCCTGATGGCGTCAGCATAGCTTTAAAGTAAACGATGTTGGGTGAAAAAATGGCTTTTCGAAGGGATTGGCCAGCAAATCATTCCATCGGCGGCCTATCCAAATTAGAGTCACGTTCAATATTACACTTAGATCCGTTCCAAACTCGGCGACTAAATCTCTAAGTCGGTTTGGAAATACTAAACGTCTCAAAAAAATTAGAAGGCCTTCCATCGCTGTCCACTTTAGGCGATATGGAGCAGTCATCTGGTGGGGAAGCTGCAAATGCTGACACAGCACTGGCAAGTCGCTCTTCCCAAAGCGGTATCTCCGTAAGCAGGTCTCCTCGTCCAAATCCTCGAAACGCAGTCGTTCACCAACTACTTCAAGTACTTCACCTGATTCAGATCAGGTTTATCTTTGGGGCGAATACTCCGCCAAACAGCAAAAGGATTTCAACGTCATCGAAGTCGCCATCATCATAGCTCAGAAGGAGCAGAGCGGCAAGGAGATGTTTGTTCTCCTGCTCCATTTTTGATGAACAACCTCTTCATGGAAAAATTGAAGCACATTGCAATCGAAAAGTTAGTTGGCCTTGTCGAACAAGGAATTATTTGGGAAATCGTAACGCCTTTTTTCCTATCATTTCGTATTTCGCGGAGATTTCTCCGACATCCACGGTATCCAGTAGCAACACCGAAGTTCGTTGCGAACGTTCTGCTAAACCAAAATTGAGCAAATTTCGGTCGGCTTTTTCGTACTGCGGCAAAACGAAAATGAACAACAAATTTCGTTGTGCTAAACCTCTTTACTAAAAGTAAAAGCCGCTAAATCCGTTTCACGCGCACCCGGGAAACGGCACATGCTACATGCATATTAAACATGACACTGGTCACGATGTACTCCTATCATGAATGTCTGGAGTGGCCAAGGAATGTCACAGCGCGTATGTAGACGTGAACACTACAGAGCTGTTAGCCAGTTACCGTATTTCCCCGTAAGTTAGTTCTCCCCAATGACTTAGTACCCCCCCCCCCCCCCTATAAAAAATACACTTTCCACTGCCGAGGTTATCACCCCGAAAGACAGTTCCCCCCGAAAGATAGTAAGGTTGCGTTTGGTTGGGCATTTTCAGAATGTAAATGACAACCATTCTGGAATGGGAATCGGCAAGAATCACCTGACCAAACTAACGCGTCAGAATCAATTAGGAATCACTTGATATAACAATTCCATGATGTCGTTGTGGAACGGCGGCTGTCTTTTCTTTTACCCGACTCTTTCCTTGAGAGAGTCATGGTACTTCTGAGTGCATGATTTGAGGCACTTGAACCTGTTGCTACATTGTTTGGCTCGTGGCAGCCATTATCATTTTTGATTCCGGAATGAGAATGCTCATTCCAGCATGTGAGGTGGAATGATCATTCTCCAAAAAGAATCATTCTCAGCGATTCCCATTCTGGAATCATGTGGAATGTGACCAACCTAACGCACTTTTTTGACCAACCAAACGGGCGAGAATGATTCCGAGTGATTCCAAGTGATTCCCATTTGGGAATGTGACCAACCAAACTTAACCTAATAAGTTTGTACCCGTCCTACATGTACAGACACCGTACAGTACATACATCATATGCACGGACACTAGAGTTGCGCAGGCTTCCCACTGCGTGCCATTTACCCCCGATAAAAAAGTACTCCCCGAAAGTTAGTACTCATGTGGCTGCTAAGTTCGAAAGTTAGTACGGACTTAGGTTGCGTTTGGTTGGGCATTTTCAGAATGTAAATGACAACCATTCGGGAATGGGAATCGGCAAGAATCACCTGACCAAACTAACGCGCCAGAATCAATTAGGAATCACTTGATATAACAATTCCATGATGTCTTTGTGGACCGGCGGCTGTCTTTTCTTTTACCCGACTCTAGTTTCCTTCAGAGAGTCATGGTACTTGAGTGCATGATTTGAGGCACTTGAACCTGTTGCTACATTGTTTGGCTCGTGGCAGCCATTATCATTTTTGATTCCGGAATGAGAATGCTCATTCCAGCATGTGAGGTGGAATGATCATTCTCCAAAAAGAATCATTCTCAGCGATTCCCATTCTGGAATCATGTGGAATGTGACCAACCTAACGCACTTTTTTGACCAACCAAACGGGCGAGAATGATTCCGAGTGATTCCAAGTGATTCCCATTTGGGAATGTGACCAACCAAACGTAACCTTAGGCTGTGTTTACATGAGGCGTTTCAACCCGGGTTGAGTTCGACCCGGGTCAGATATCAACCCGCCATGTGCACAAAATGAATGGCGCGTTTACATGACGCATTGCGCTTGACCCGGGTTGAAATTTCGTCCCGGGTTGATTTCAACCCTCCCCCGCAAGGGGAGGGTTGAAATCAACCCGGGTCAAGAAAATCGTACAAACGTACTTCTGTGCGTATCTCGCGCCAGGTTTGAACGGCACTGCAGATGCAAATTTCGCGCGAACGGATTCACGTGACCATACAGGACTGTAGAAGTGGACTTTTAGCGGCATATCAGTATTTGACCCGGGTCAACTGTCTTCATGTAAACGCTCACCTCTTTAGTCTATCGTACAGACTTTCAACCCGGGCTGAACTCGACCCGGGTTGAAATTTCTCATGTAAACACAGCCTAACTTACGGGGAAATACGGTAGTTGTAGAACGTCAGTACCATCGGTCAAGGTCGTGCAATGTTATCGCATGACCTGATTGTTTAGTAACTGGTGGTTTTAGTGGACATTTTAGCGTACAGTAACTTGTAGTTTCTTGGTCCTTTTTTTCTTTACTATAAATTTATCCTTGGCTCTCCATCCGAGTCCATACTTGTTTTATAGATTTAAAATCTAGAACAAGACTTCTAACTGACCAAGTGTTGAAACTATCAAGAAAACAGAAGACGCACCGAGTCTTTGGCTGTCCTGAGCATGCAATGGCTTGATTAAAGTGAGTATTCAAAACGGGCCAAATTTCGGCAAAAATAGCAAGGTTTTACTGCGAAATGCAGCTGAATAAAGTTAAGGCTGTTGAGACGATGGCTATAATATATATTCTGATGAGGTCTTACGCAAGTCTAACATGAGGTCTTACGTAAACCTGACGTTACCTCATGCATAGCAGTTGACCGTTCTTCCCCTTACACGTCAACGTGTTGAGAATGTAGTGTGCCGCGTTGCCAAACACAGCTGGTGGGTATACTGACGGCACGCTCTGGGTACGTTATCGTGCTCGTAGAGCATGAAGCGAGTTGACGGCGTATTAAGTCAAGGCTGTTGTTGAGACGATGGCTAGATATACTGTGATAATGTCTCACGCAAGCCTAACGTTACCTCATGCACAGCAGTTGACCGTTTCCCCCTTACTCGTCAGCGTGTCGAGAACGTACTGTGCCGCGTGGTCAAAGATGGCCGGAGGAGACTGCTGGCGGCACACTCTGGGTACGGTGTCATGCTCATAGTGCGCAAAGCGAGTTGACGGCGTATTAAGTCAAGGCCGTTGAAACGATGGCTAGACGTTACCTCATGCACAGCAGTTGACCGTTTTTCCCCTTGCTGGTCAGCGTGTTGAGAATGTACTGTGCCGCGTTGCCAAAGACGGCCGGGGCCGGTTGCTGGCGGCACGCCCGCGGCACGTTGTCGTGCTCGTAGTGCACGAAGCGCGGCGATGGCGTGAGATCAATGCCACCATCCTTGGCCAGGACACCCACCATGGCGTCCTCCACGTTGCCGGGCAATCCCGGGGTGGTCAGGCGCAGCAGCGCCGAGCGAACAATGACCCTGGCCACGTCGCGCGACACAAAGTAGGCGAAGCCCGACGCGAACGGCGGGTAGTCGGCCTTGTTGTACTGCTTCCAGCTGACGCAGTTCTTCTTGAGCATCTCTCCATTGGTGTCGTCCTCGCAGTGCTTCACACCCAGTGTGGTGTGCTGGTGGCCGCAGTAGAGACGCTCTCGTGCTGAAGCCAGAACCAGCGGCACGAAGTTGGACCAGATGATGGTGGCGTCGTCGTCGATGAGCATGACGTAATCGTACTGCAGCGTCTCCACGCTCCACTGCAGCATCCAAACGGTCTTGGCCGTCATGACGCCATAGCTGTCCGTGAAGTTGCCCATCATGATGTCGCCGTTCTCGTCGAACTCCTGCTGGAGGCGTGCATTCTCTGCCGCGTTGGCGTCGCGACCCGTCACAAACATACACGCGACGTCCAGAATCGTCCGGCCTCCTTCACCGACATACTCATGGCCGGGAATGTTGTAGTACGCGTCCTTTAGCAAGGAAAGCTGGCGTCCGTACTGCACACGATCGTGCTCGGCGTTCAGACGCTTCCTATGCAGCAAACCAAGATTACACTCATCCACCCAATTGAAACGCACATTGCGACGCCGCTGTCCATTCTTCGGACCGGTTTTGACCAGCACTTTTAGCCGCACACGCTCAACGCCATCGCTATTTTCGCCTTGTACAGTCTTTCCACGAGCAGCAGAATCCACTATTTCTGCTGGTCCCGGACTTGGTCCCTGATTGCTGTGGCCACTGTTCATTACATTTCCACTGTCCTGTGGTGCACTGACAGTCACAGCTGCTTCTGCTGCTGGTACTGCTGCTGCTGCTGCTGTTGCTGCTGCTGGTACTGCTTCCACTACTGAGCGATGCGACTGCAGAGCGGACCTGAGATGCTGCAGAACGCTCGCTTCGACTGCCTTGGTCGCCGCTGGTGCCCGTCTCAGCTGATGTCTCTCGATTCTGGCCAGTCGAACTGCCACTGTTGAATACTCACGCCAAGTCGGCGACGGGGAGTGCAGTAGATGCGACGCGTTCGGATCCGGCAGGATTCCTCGTTGTGAAACCGTCGTCCAGATCATCACAAGCATCCACGGTACTGTAGCAAGAAGGACCAGAGCTAAGGTGACATTCCGCCGATTTCCCATATTATAATAATTATATTATTACTAGCACGGCGCAGGGAACGACAATATGACGCTGTGGCACTACGCGGAGAGGGACAATAGCCTGAATAGGACGCTGTGGCACTGTGATGTCGCAGGTTGACAGCACAGCTTCACATCCGCAAGAAATCGAAAGTGGAGCGAGCTCGGCACAAATCCAAACTCGATCAATCTTCCCTTACGATATTACTTATTAGTCCTCCTGGATAGCTCGATCTTCTGCACCCTCAGCGCACACAAGCTGAAATTGTCACGATGTTTTACTCCTCGCGCTTGTCACCGCTGACGCACGATACGCTAGCGCTGTCAGCTGCCCACAAATCTTGCACACTCCGATCGAATCCTGTCAACGGCACGTACTTTAATAATTTTTGATCTTCTATATATCGTAGCTGTTGATGGTGGAACGGCAACGGGCGGCAGAGTCCAGCGTTGTCCACCAACACCAATCAGCAGTGCTCACTAAGAGCTGAGAGATTGAGAGCAATTTGCGCTGCAGTGAAGACACCAATGTTACTATTGTGAACCACGCCAGTAGCTTCCCGACTCACGCCAGTGGCTTTCCAAAGTCGGCGTACACTGCGAGTCTCTAACGCATGAAGAGAGGCGAAACTGAGAGGAAAGTGCAACTCACTGACCAAGCCCAAAGTCTTTGTTGTAGGCAGCTGAGACAATGTTACACCGTCTTTTTACTTGGCTAGGGAACAGTAATAGTATTAGTAGGGTGTAGGTATCCGTTGCGTGATCCAGCAACCAACAAACACTGAAACAGTAAGTACACGTGCACTATGCAGCATGCAGAATGCATGTCGTAAAAAATAATACTCGTGGAGTGCATGCATGCTACATACTACTGTCTACTGAGGCTGTGTTTACATGAGAAATTTCAACCCGGGTCGAGTTCAGCCCGGGTTGAAAGTCTGTACGACAGACAAAAGAGGTGCACCGGTACGGTGAGCGTTTACATGAAGACAGTTGACCCGGGTCAAATACTGATAATAGACATGTACGTATGATTTATAATGCCGTGGCAGTACCAGGCGTGGGCCATCCTCTGGATTATCAAAACTGGGTGCCTTATCATTTTCTGTTGTTTTTACACTTCGTTCCACCGAGCAGTCATACTTAGGGGTCAAATATCCCCGTACGCAATGAAGCACTGTACAAGCGCACTACAGTCCATTCATAAAAAAATGGGTCCTGGCTCTGGCGAGCTCCCGTATTTGGCGATTTTTCGTGATTTCATCGTACACAGTGCGGTGCTGCGAACTTTGAAATTTGAAAAAGGGTCCAAAAAGGGTGCCTGAACTGGGGTTCGAACCGCAGAATGCACTGTTGCAGGCGGGGTCAAACGGCCTGGATTTTGATGGTTTTTCCCAATTCAGTGCTTTTGGGGCAAAACCTGGCCGAAATCCTATTCTTGCTATGGCTTGCTTTTTGGACAAAAAAACTTCAGAAACATAATTGGAAGAGGATTCCATATGGGATTGCAGAAAAAAATTCTAAAAAAACTCAACGTTTGACCCATTTATGGCCAAAAGCTAGAAGTTCATTTTTTTCTGAATGGACTGTAGTGCACTGGCTCCAAGCCACTTACATGTACATCCTTGGTCACATGCTTCGACTAGACACTTCTTCGTGCTTTGTAATAAAAGTCTCATTATCATTTTAAAAAAATGATATTGGGTATGTGTAGGGGCCTGGTACATGTAACATGGTACAGACAGTGTAGTACGGTACTGTAGACTAGTGTAGTGCGATTTCAATCAGTTCAATCAGTGGTGCAATAATAATGTACGACTCCCTGATTTCAACCCGGGTTGAAATTAGGCCCATTAATTTCAATTAATTAATTTCAACCAGGGAGTTTTTGTAGTTAGCGGGAAAAACACACACATACACACACGGTCCCTGATTTCAATGCGGGTCACGCGCAATGCGTCATCTCGGGCTGTGTTGACATGGGGAGTTTCAACCCGGGTTGAGATCGCGACCCGGGTGAAGTTTCAACCCGCCATATTGGGGGGGGGGGGGTGAATAGATCCTGACACAAGTAGTTCATCATTGTACAGATTGTTTTTTTTTTACTGACCGGTTTCACTAATGCTAAATTTTGAACAGATCATCAGAGTCCTGCACCTTGCACGTAGGTCTACGTACCGGTACTACCAAGAGTACATAACCACGGGTTATGTACTCTTGGTTAGGCAAAGCCCGATTTTGCCAGGGAAACTTCGACATTTTGCCGCAACATTTTGCTCGCCCATCGTCGATATTTTGCTTTCATTTTGCCAGGTCACTCGATATTTTGCTCCCTTTTTGCTCCAATGCAAGGCCAAATTTGGGTCACGTGTAGGAAAACTGACCGAAAGTGGGTCACGTGTTGGCAAAAATAAGAAAAAATGAGTCACGTGTTGGCAAAAATGTACGAAAATGAGTCACATGCATCGTATAAGTGTAAAATCTCCCAATTTCCCGCGAACATACCGATATTTTGCTCCATTTTGCCAGCAAATTCTCTCATCAAAATTCTTCGATATTTTGCCAGCAGAATTGCTAGCAAAATCGGGCTATGTCTACTCTTGGTACTACCAAGACTGGCAAGAGTACATAATTTTAAAATAATTATTATGGGGTTATGTACTCTTGGTACTACTACTAGCCCTCGGTGATAGCATGCACCGTGATCTTCACTTCATGTCAGCCCGAGGCACACGCATACAGAGCGGCTACATCCCCGCTACAAAGTGGTTTGTAAGTGGGGGGATCTCGCAAGGACGTACCTAAGTCCTTGCAAGCACTAAAAGGCCAGAGCATTTGAGATGCGAGCAACAGCTCGTATCATTGCCGTAAGTGGAAGTACTTGGCAGGACTAAGGCCGTATAACAAGGGTGCTGGCGAAACTTGGTGAGCGTTCGTTATCATGGTTATCACAGAGCCACGTAAACATGGATGGCAAGGAGTGGATCAATGGTCCATGGAAGGAGTAGTTCACTGTTCAGGGCTGCACTGCATTTCATCCAAGTACAGGTGCTGAGTGTTATACACTTCCAATTCCTGAGTTCATCAACCAGGTGACGACGGTCGTTACGTGGCACAGCCTAGTTGTACAGTACACATACAATGTACACGTACACACAACACCGTATTATTATTATTATTATGTACTCTTGACAACACTGACACGAGTCATGGCTTGAGCCAGGGAACGTCGACCACATCATGTCACTGAACCATGCATCTCTGACCACTTGTCACTAGGCTGTCAGTGAGCCGATGATGCGGCTATCATCAGAAATGATGGCGTACTGAGTATCCGTTCGCCACCACTGCACCAACAAGAGGAGCAGCACCACTGCCACCAGCACCCAATAGTCCTTATGCACATTGTACAGATGTACGAAGTTCTGTACTATGGCCGTAGGTGTGTACATACCCGGTTGGGTGTTCATTGTGTGCTATACATGCGCGTTTGACCCATTTAGCCTCACAATTCATGGCAAACGATCACTTTTGAAGCCTTCTTCACTTTGGGATTGAACTAACGACTAACTAGATCTCTGCCGGAAAAAGATTTCGTATGAAATGCTTTCATGGCCCATTTCATAGTGGAAATAGCAGTAAACACAATAGGGTCCTGCACATTCAACACCCAACCGGGTCTACGGGATTCTACAAGATTATACGGGATTTCGTGCATCTGTACAATGTGCATAAGGCCTATCGGCAATCGTTCACAAGTTACAGGCACCGTATGGCGGGCAATTCCTCGAATTCTGCTCCATTTCTTTATCTCACAGTCTGTGGGGATTGCCCTAGTAAAATAATAAAATACTACTACTACTACTACTACTACTACTACTACTACTACTACTACTACTACTACTACTACTACTACTACTACTACTACTACTACGCATAAGTAAGAGAGCCCTTAGATGCATATTTGAGCATGACACATTCACGCGGACATCATACTTGCTTGAGCGATACCACATAATTAGCTTAGACAAAAGATATCATACTAAGTCCATATTCTTCGTGTTCCGTTGCATCCACAATATCTGCAGTTCACTCCTCTCTGACATGTTCTCCCTTCGCCGTGACTGCGCTCACACAGACAGAGTAACCCGCGGCCAAGTCAATTATTCCCTTTCCTTACCCATTGTGCAAGCCCAAGCTGGATACAGATCTATTTCATTCCTTGGTGCTGACCGCTTTAATGCGCTTCCCGAATCCCTTCGCACAAATCATATCCCCAATTCATTTCGCCAGGAACTTAACAATTTCATTAATCTTGGGCACCCTGTAAGAAGACCTTAGGGTCTGTTGGGAATGCCCAAGTAAAATAATAACATACAATACAATACAATACTACTACTATTCACATACCAAACATGCATGAAACTTACCAGAAAAAGTACCGAATTCTGCCAATTTCTCTGCCGGCATTATCCGCCGGTGCCTAAATTGTAAAACCATCCACGGTTGGTAGAGCACATTACATTCCTCCCTCCTCAAGCCCACTATGACTAACAGGTCTTAGGCGCCTTTCCCGAAATCGGCCCCGTTTTTTCGCTTACTTAGGCAGGCGGCATGGTGGGATGGTCTTAATTTAAAGACCATGATTGAGAAACAGAGGGTACCAGGTTCAAGTCCTGCTTGGAAGCGGAAGGATGTTTTCCAGCCGTGCTGTGATCCACAGTTACACGTACATGTATAATTGGGAACTCGTGGCCTGGCACGAGGGAAACATGGATGCAGTGAATGGGATTTTCGGTCTTTGACCACTTGCTGGTGAGCTGATCTACTCACATCCCACCGTCATTACGTAGGCCGTCATCACATTACGTTCTCCGACTCCCGTCAGGGGGGAGATATGACTAATGGTAAAGTATTATCCGGCCTCCTTTAAAAATAAACAATAATACCGGTAATTTGAAATTCGGATGTTTAGCCATAAATAAAAGTAGAAAGGAAAAAGACATTATGGACACTAGTTAAGAGTAACTCTCCGCCACTGTAACATGATACGTTATACAGTCAGAAAGTGAAATTGGTGATTGAGTGTCCTTTCAGCTACGTCTCCTCCATTGCGGATTTCTATTGATCTTCTTACTGTACCCACACACTTCACGTACACTCTAGCACGCGGGGCTGCGTCCCACCCGCCTGTGTAGATTCACAGGAAGTGTGAGTTACGAAGTCTGAAGAAAATGTTGAACAGTATCTGCTGGGATGACGACTACACCATAGCTCAGTGGTTAGAGCATCGCTAGCTACAAGCGAGGGTCCCTGGTTCGAGTCCTGGTGGTGACAGTCAATTTTTTCTTCAGACTTTTCCCGTTTGTCTCTTTCCCTCAAACTAGTGAAGAAAAAAAATAATAATATAAATAATAATTTGAAACTCGGATGTTGAGCCATAAATAAATGTAGAAGAGAAAAGGACATACATGTATGGATACGAGTTAAGAGTAACTCTCCATCACTGTAACATCACTTTCTGACTGTATATAGTATCATGTTACAGTGATGGAGAGTTACTCTTAACTCGTATCCATATGTCCTTTGATGGTGCAGCTAATGGGGTCGCTTTCGGCACTTGTGCCAGTGGTTGTGAGACTTACCCACTCACCCCCACCGTTAGGCGCTGCATCTGCCGCTAGGGTTTATCGGGTGTTAGCGGCCGTCGTGAGTTCCCTTCGGGAACGGATACGATAATTTACTTTTTTTTTATATGTCCTTTTCTCTTCTACATATAAATAATAATAATAATAATAATAAAGCTGGCAAAGCTGCAGCGCCTTCGCCTGACGAGCCTGGACACCGCAAACAAAGAGACTGTTAAACAGGCCCTCAATGACAACCGCCGCCGTGAACTTCGAGCGATGCCTCTTCATGGTCGCTATTGGGCACGAGTTGATGGCATACTGGAGTCACATGCAGCTCTCGTTTTCCTGTTTCAGATCCCAGACAATGCGTCCTGAAACGGAAGGCTTTCTCATTGCTTGCCAGGATCAGGTGATTACCACGAGAAACAATATGCGCCATATCCACAAGAGGCATGATGTCGTGGACCTCTGTCGTGTATGTGGTGCACCCGGAGAAAATATGGACCACATCATCTCCCGAATATCATCCCGACTGCGTAGCAGGAGGGATGATATGAGGGTACGGTAACACCCGAGTACGCGGGTCAATATCCGTCTTTGTGGTCCACTTTCACGACAATAACACACACAGAAGTCTCTGCTGTGGGCACGGTGGCTCGGCAATGGCTTTATTTATTGATATATCCTCTTCCTGATTTTTTTTTTAATAATTGGATGCATAGACTATATTAGAGATAAGAAAAATAAGCACAAGATACTGCTGCTAGTCGCACAGCAAAGCACACAGAAACGACAATATGTTACAATGAATGTAACAACACCCGTCCAAGCTAAAGGACCTACATCCCTGCCCCAGGACGGTATCTTGAAAAACCCCACACACTCACCACACGGTCATCATCCAGCTTCAGTTCAATCACAATACAGTAGTATTCTTCCCATGCAGATTCAATTGAACTCCCCTGGCACTAGCTATACAATCTGAAGCTGTACGTAACCATACAAAGGCCCGCGACGCACACACCACCCCTACGTTTTTAAACTAAAAAAGAAAAGCAGTCGTAACTGCCACAGCCACATGGCCAATAAGAAAGCCGATAAGATTATATCGATAAACACACACCCAGAAGTCAGGGGTGGGAGGGTGGGATACAAACTGCACCAACGAAAAGCCACTGCGAAGTGACAGGAATGCGGTCAAGCACAACATTTTTGCTGAAGCAAAAAGTTGCAGGGAAATTCCAAAATCAGTGCGATTTTACATGAGCCCCAAATGTTCAAGTTACCCACAAAGACACAAGCTTTCCAACTCTCTTTGGCCGTTGGAAGGCGTACCTACTTATCCCAGGTACATCTACGCATTTTGGGGATCGACGCAACTGCGTTCTGAATACAATTACCAAGGCACAGCTATACCAAAAACAAGATGCTGCCTTTCTTTTCAATCCAGTCAAGGTTTGAGAGCGATGGAGCTCGGGAGACAAGTTGCATTTTAGTAGTTGGACTAGAGAATTGACGAAGATTGCACTGTTATGATACATAGTCATTTGGTTCAAAGTAAGGGCCATACTTCAAGTCACGGCGAGATACCACGTCATTATGGATGCTGGTGCTGACTTCCTTGTCATTGGATCGGCTTAGAACTTTCAACGGTTTGGGATCCTTGCTGAACACTGTCTGTGGAGGCAGTAACCACATTGTACATATCGTCGGACATTGGCTCGCCTGCTGTCCAGCCCTGGCACGGACTGCATACATTGCCCGGCATAACTTTGTGGTCCAGGCCCTGCATCGTGCGCTGTGTAAGCAGCATGAATTACCCAGCAGTAAGCAGCTGGTACAGGTCACAAGTTCTGCCAGTTGCAAGCTTATGTGGGAGATTTCCATTCCCACAGATCGAATAATAAAAGCGAACAGACCAGACCTGGTGCTGGTTCTGGATGATCGGGCACTACTCTTGGACGTCAGTGTCCCATTGGACCACAGGGTCAATGAGAAGGTGCAGGAGAAGATCAGTAAATACCTGCCCTTGGCAGCGGAGTTGAGGAGGATCTGGAACAAAAAGATAACTATTGTTCCAGTTATCATTGGTGCTCTGGGTGGTGTGTCAGGAACGAGCCGCAGCCACATCTTAATCCTTGGGCTCCACGCGTCCGTGATCCAGCGGCTGCAGCAATGTGCTATTCTGGGCACCCTGAGAATTGTGCGGTCGGTAACTGGTCATGGATGGGAGAGTGGCATGGTCGGAACGGTCGGTTGACCTTATGTTAGCCTGCCCGTAATGTCTCGATGTGTCTCGGTCTGTGTGTTTTATGATTGTGGTGCATCATGTGCTGTGTGACGAGCCGAGAGGCGTGAATTTCTGCCATATGCCCCCAGTCATGTATTGTCTTTCTCTGCATATGCCGTTTTATCTCGTCTGAGTTTGTCTTGCTTGGAGTGTCCCATGTGCAGCATGCTTGGTGTTTACTACTTCAGTAGTTCTGTTATACATGACTGTGATTTTATGTGAGTATCGAAGTTGGTATAGTTGAATTTTTCTCTCATGAAGTTTATCAAAATTTTGTTCAGGATTTTCTTTTATCTTCATTGATTGGTGCTTCACCCTTGGGTCATATGGATCCCGGTGCTGTGCTTCATGCCTCCTTTCAAGCTTTCTTTTTCTGCTTTGGGAGTGAATAAAGTCGTCATAATAATAATAACAACTATGAATAGGATGAAGACCGCAGACATCACGCAACTACGTTACTTGTTTGACATGTATTACTGTGTATTTTATAACAAAATATTATTGAAAACCCAGAATCGATTTTCTCGTTCCTATCATCAGTGGGAAAAATACGGAACTAACGATACAACCAAAGAAACTGAAGTTAAGTACTGTAAATAGAAAGGTGTTAGAAATAACATCAAGATACAAGTGCAATAAAACCACTAGAGGAAACGCAAAAAGGTAACAAGATTACATAACCAAAGGCGAGAAGGCACTGAACGAAGCGTCAACCTACGAATACAACTTCAGTGCAACAACGTGCTCTTTCTGCTTACACAAAACAGGCTTATGAATGCGTATACAAACTGCCTCAAGGACTTTCAAACTGTTGGACATAACGCACACGACACAGTACAGAAAAATGAGAGTCATCATACACACCAAGACAGTCAGGACGAGATAACAAGTGCAGATACACAGCTGACTTCTTACGATCAACACATTCATCCGCCTCATCTCGCTCCTTCCCACCCGACTCCTCCTCGTCCATCTCATCGTCCTCTTCCTCGTTCCGCTCGTCATCCTCACGATCATCATCACTACCATATTCTGCCTCGGCCTCTGTCTCCTCACCAACCGTTTCGTCATCCAATTCCTCTTCCATCCTCTGATCATCCGTCTCATCCTCCGTTTCAGTACAGACCACTTGTCTCCCATTTGCTAGCTGCTCGTCCCGTGAGCGGAGCTGTTCCTCCGGATCAGCTTCACTCACTGACTCATGATACTGCTCGACCCTCCTCCTGTTGGTACTGTCCACAACGCGCGGTCCTTGGCCGTTTCTGGCATAGATCTCTGTGGAGTAGTTTGCTGTTGCCCTCCGAGGTCTCTGGATTAATGTGGGCGGCGTGGTAATTCGTGTGAGAGTTGGTGATGTCAGCGCGGGTGTACGTGGGTCCACCCCAGCCCCCGCCACAAGAAGATACATGTACATGTATGTCCAACAGTTGAAAGTCCTTGAGGCAGTTTGTATGTACTTGTATACGTATTCATAAGCCTGTTTTGTGTAAGCAGAAAGAGCACGTTGTTGCACTGAAGTTGTATTCGTAGGTTGACACTTCGTTCAGTGCCTTCTCGCCTTTGGTTATGTAATCTTGTTACCTTTTCGCGTTTCCTCTAGTGGTTTTATTGCACTTGTATCTTGATGTTATTTCCAACACCTTTCTATTTACAGTACTTAACTTCAGTTTCTTTGGTTGTATCCTTAGTTCCGTATTTTTCCCACTGATGATAGGAACGAGAAAATCGATTCTGGGTTTTCAATAATATTGTTGTTATAAATACACAGTAATACATGTCAAACAAGTAACGTAGTTGCGTGATGTCTGCGGCCTTCATCCTATTCATAGCTATATTAAAATTATTATCTCCACGTAGATTATTAAGAATAGGGAGGTTCTGCTCTACGTTTTGGGAACGCGACGCAAAGAATCACGCGAACTTTCTTCGCGTTCCCGTAACGTAAAGAAATGCTGTTCTGCTCTACGTTTCACCAAGAGTACATAACCCCCCAGAGTGTGCAACTCCACTATGGGTGCTGTCCCGACAGAATTTCAAGTTGACGTCATTTTGATGATGCAATGCGCACTGTACACGGATTATCAGACGAATCCGCACCTGTGGTTGACCGAAGCCGATCGATCCTGTACAAATTATTACAAAGAAAAACGTGTGATGCGTTGACACCCGTACACATGTTGTAAATCACTGGTGCAAGGAGCATTGCGTCATAAATAATGACGTCAACTTGAAATTCTGTCGGGACAGCAGGGTATGTGGGAGTTGCACACTCTTGGGGGGTTATGTACTCTTGGTTTCACCAAGAGTACATAACCCCCCAGAGTGTGCAACTCCACTATGGGTGCTGTCCCGACAGAATTTCAAGTTGACGTCATTTTGATGATGCAATGCGCACTGTACACGGATTATCAGACGAATCCGGAACATGTGGTTGAGCGAAGCCGATCGATCCTGTACAAATTATTGCAAAGAAAAACGTGTGATGCGTTGACACCCGTACACTTGTTGTAAATCACTGGTGCAAGGAGCATTGCGTCATAAATAATGACGTCAACTTGAAATTCTGTCGGGACAGCAGGGTATGTGGGAGTTGCACACTCTGGGGGGTTATGTACTCTTGGTTTCATCACCAAGAGTACATAACCCCCCAGAGTGTGCAACTCCCACATACCCTGTTGTCCCGACAGAATTTCAAGTTGACGTCATTATTTATGACGCAATGCTCCTTGCAGCAGTGATTTACAACATGTGTACGGGTGTCAACGCATCACACGTTTTTCTTTGCAATAATTAATATTTGTACAGGATCGATCGGCTTCGGTCAACCACAGGTTCCGGATTCGTCTGATAATCCGTGTACAGTGCGCATTGCATCATCAAAATGACGTCAACTTGAAATTCTGTCGGGACAGCACCCATAGTGGAGTTGCACACTCTGGGGGGTTATGTACTCTTGGTTTCACCTAGAGAAGTCACGTGGAATGTGTATTGGGAATTTCCCCTTCCATATTTGGCAGTTTTCTGCATGCAGTTGATCGATACCCAGCAATTCCGTACGCATTTTCTCTGCGTGTGCCACAACGTAGAGAACCTCATCTCCGAGTAGAAATCTGGAGCCAAAACACGCGAAGCCGTAGACTCTAACCCAGACACCTGCTCTCTACGTGATTTCTCTACGTTTCACGTATAGCAGAACCTCCCTAATAACAACACTAAATTTTGGTAGATTTTCGGCGATTCTCAAAGAAACCCTCCAAAATCGGCTAAAAGCTAAGCGAATTTTTGGATTAGTCTCGTTTTCAGCGAAATTGTTGGCCGGCCGATTTGGGGAAAGCCTATCGAGCGGTTATGCTTGCAGCAACATCATTCGCTCGTAAACGCACTTTGCAACAGCATTTGGTAGATTTTCGGCGATTCTCATAGGAACCCTCCAAAAACGGCGAAAAGGGATTTTCGATGTCTCATTTTCGGCGCATGGATTTGTGATTTTGTAGACACGTAACACCTTTAGGCTAGCACTAATGCTACATTTACCTGACTACATACATATTATGCTACATAAAGTCTTTATGTAGCAGTGTAGTCTGGTAAATGTACAGGTGATGTAGCATGCCCAACGTAACTAATAAAAAGTCGTTGCAACTGAGGCTGTTACACAAAATCCGTAACGATGATTTACGAGTTCTTTTCTAGAAATCATGGGGAGCCATTGGAGGAGACTAGACGTACATTGTACCCGAAGGCAATATCAAACATACGAAGAGGAGGTTTTCTGTTAAGCCATAGGCTCTGGCCAAAGCATCTCTAGCGATACTGAAGTCACATTGATCCATTGATAAATTTCGACCTGGATGAAGGAGCGGCTATAAAAAGAAAGAGCTTGTTCCAAATAAATGCCTTTGCCGAGTCCAGCTCAGCAGGCTCGAAAAGAACTAGAATTTCAATTCTCATGGACGCAGTACCAAGACGATTTCAGTGCTCAGCAGCGCGTGTCTTACTTTTCTGGTGAAGCACGTGCAGTTCGTCGTGGACGATTTTAATGTGAGGCCTACAGTCAAGTGCTATCAGAAAAGAAGAGTATTTGTGGCCAACCATTTGTCTCCACGCAACCTCAGGAGAAGAAGACAGCGCAAGCAGAGGATGTGGAGCGGCAAAATAACTTCTGACCACGTGTTTTCAGGATTTCCGCAGATGGGAGGGATCTCGATCTGCGATCGTCTCTCAGGAACTGGCCTCACGTGACCTGTTTCAGATGAAGACTGGCATTTTTCACAGAGTGGAAGCAGTGACAGCTTGTCTGCAGGCAGGAATACCACTTCCCATGATATGCTTCCAGCATCCAAATGATCACCAGCAATAATGGTTTCACCTTTCACTACATGGATAAGCAAGGGAAAAGATTTGATGCACCCACTATTCAGCCACAACCCTGCATCAAAGTTGCAATGGAGAGCAGCCAATGGAGACGCGATCATGTCTTATAGTGCTAAGAAGTGGTGGAGCGCGTAAGAGATATTGTAGCAGCTTCAGAGGTTGATCGACTAAATGCATCCTTTCCTGGAAGCTTGACAATGTGCAGCCTTTCTTCCATTTTTGTTCCAAACCAAGAGCATTATATCCCTTGTTGAAGCATTATACAGATCAGCATTACAAGGTAGTTTTTTGGATCATTATGATTAGCATTATACGAACATTTTCTGAGCATTATCCGCTGGACCCTAGTGTAGACTACCTCTTGCGTACTACGCTCCGCCCATTCCGGGCGTTTGAGCACTATGCATTGTACCGGCGCATGACTTTGTGATTGTGTAGACACGTAACACCTTTAGCACTAACGCTACATAACTATTGCTACATAAAAACGTTATGATTGTAGCGATCTGGTCACGTAAATGTATACAAGCCATTTGTGAAGCATGCCCAACCGAGGCCGAGGCTGTTCAAGTGACACAAATCCGGAGAAAATATTTACGAGGTTTCTTTTACTTTTAGAATAATGGAGCCGCTGAGCTATGGAGGAGACATACGCGAAGTGAATATCAAACAGACGAAGAAGAGTTTTCTAGTTGTGCCAGAGGCTCTGGCGATAGCATCTCTAGCGATACTGAAGTAGACACTGATGCATTGCTAAATTTGGACCAGGATGAAGGAGCGGCTATAAACAGAAAGAGTTCGTTCCAAAAGAACTGCCTTTGCCGAGTCCAGCTCAGGAGGCTCGAAAAGAACTAGAATTTCTCATGGACTCAGTACCAAGTCGATTGCTCAGCAGCGCCCAGGGGCGTAGGAGGGGTTTTGGAAGTGGTACGACCGAAGGTCGGTGCGGGCAAAGGCCGTTTGGAGGGGGTCCGGGGGCCCTCCCCCGGGAAAATTTTGTAAAAAAGACACAAAATCCTGCGTTCTGGGAACTTCTGGCACAGTTTATAAAGTCATAATTTCACGGTCAGAAGAGACGTGCATGGACATGCCCAGATGCACGGCATATCTACGAGTACGAGTCTAGAAAAAGGTCAAAGTCTGATGCGCATATGCGCATACATGTATGAATCGATGGATCCTAATTTTTTTATTATGGTTTTGCACGTTCCGGACGGACCTTACTTTTCGAAAAGCTTGTGGTACGGCCATGGTCGTACCAGTCGTAGCGGCCGCTACGCCCCTGAGCGCCTGTCTTACTTTCCTGATGAAGCACGTACAGTTAGTTGTGGACGCTTGTAATGCCAGGCCTGCAGTCAAATGCTATCAGAAAGGAAGAGTATTGTGGCAAGCCATACGTCTACACACCATCTCAAGGAGAAGATGAGAGCACAAGCAAAGGATGTAGAGTGGAAAAATAACTTCTGACCACGTGTTTTCAGGATTTCCGCGAATGGGAGGGCTCTCCATCTGAGACCGGATCTCAGAAGCTGACCTCACGTCTGGTGTTTCAGATGAAGACATTATCCACAGAGTTGACGCAGTGACAGCTTGTAAGCAGGCAGGAATACTAAGTATTTGCCAAGATAAACTTCATCCCAACAATGAATGACTACCTGCAATAATGGTTTCATCTCTCACTACATGGATAACTAGGGGAAAGATTTGATACACCGACTATTCTGCCACAACCCTGCATCAAAGTTGGAATGGAGAGCAATCAATGGAGAAGCGATCATGTCTTATACCGTAGAATCCCGCGGATAAGCCCATGGGCTTATCTGTTTCACAAGGACATTTCGGTGGGCTTATACGAGAACATGGGCTTATACGCGGGCATGGGTTTATACGCCGACACCAAGTTGTGCTATTGAAAAGTATCAAGGAAGTGTGAAGCACATTGCTGAAAACCACTGTGCAAACAAAAACAACCGATGATTGTGCTGAAATGTACGAAAAACACTATAATGTGCATGACTACGTACATGTACATGG